TGGTTGATGGTGACCTCGTTTTAATAACTATCAGTTTCAAACCGAAAGGACGTGGAATTACGTGCAGTCGTGTTTACATGATAAACAGTGTTTATCTCGCAAAATAGCGAGATTTCATTAATTTCGTGCAAACAAGTGGTAGTTAAGTATTTGAACGCAACTCCCGAAAGACGGGACGCAAATATTTGGGTAAGTGTGTTTTTGAAACGCATGAACAAAAAACCTACCGCAACCAAGATCTAATACATAGTAATTTATGTTTTTATTATTCGAGAGAAATGTTGACATCTGTATTTTCTGAATGAATTGAGACTGTGACTCGAGTATTGATAATGAACTTAACCAGGTATTGAACTGTTGCGTGTAGTCTTATTGATGAACTTCATCAGGTATTGAACTGTTTCGTGTAGTCTTATTGATGAACTTGACCAGGTATTGAACTGTTTCGTGTAGTCTTATTGATGAACTTGACCAGGTATTGAACTGTTTCGTGTAGTCTTATTGATGAACTTGACCAGGTATTGAACTGTTTCGTGTAGTCACTACACGCAACAGTTCAATACCTGATGAAGTTCATCAATAAGACTACACGCAACAGTTCAATACCTGATGAAGTTCATCAATATGACTACACGCAACAGTTCAATACCTGGTCAAGTTCATCAATAACATATTGATGAACTTGACCAGGTATTGAACTGTTGCTTGTAGTCTTATTGATGAACTGATATTTTTGCTTCACTTTTATACTTCATCTAAAAAGAAGATAACCAAATTATATCAGTTACCAGTATATTATTTTATGTACTTTGAAAACACATCATTTAGTCCGTAATGTGATGGAAATTCTTCCGATTATCGTGATCACAACGCCCTGAAGATTTTCATATAATTTTAGATTCGGGTATTTTAACCCCTGAAAACTATTAAACAAACTGATATCTGATACTATATGCAATATGAAATACATTTCTAAAGTTAATTAATGCCACGTTATACTAGCTTTGAAAACTAGGAAAGACTGATCCTTTATGGGTTCTATCATTTTAGCCACTTTTTACATATATAATAATATAAAAATGCCTTCCATGAAACAAGACATCACAATAGAATAACAATCTTCTTTTGGACATATACAAAAAACAAACAACAAAAACCATTTGTGTCGCTTCTTTATTTTACATAAAGTAAGATGTTTAAGAATGTGTTCCCTTAAAACACATATACGATGTATAGAAGGCTTATTAAAGAACATTATGTTTTTTTTCTATGCTAGAATAGAAGTAAAAAATGGAGTAAAATAATATCGTTATGGTATTTATCCAACTTGTTTCGCTGCCGCTTCGAAAAATAGTACAAATATTTCTTTGCTTTTAATTACTAGTATAAAAGGAAGTTAAGGCCAGTTTATCCAAGTGTATGATCTTGAATTGAAATGGCTCATTTACTAAATTTATCTTATATTTTATGCTAGACTCTGGGTTTTGATACCCGTGGTAGCAGAGCACAGATAGTCCATTGTGTAGCTTTATGCTTAACTTCAAACAAACCAAACTTATATTATACATTACGGTTTTGGTAAAGCTAACATTTGTTGTCATGCAGGTATGGATAATTTAATGAAATTTCCTATTTGTTTAACAACAACTCTTAACAATGCTCTTATGGATGATTACTCATTACAGAACACTAATTATATCAACCTCAAAGACTGATTGCGGTATAAACAGTAAATCAGGACACACACACACACACACACACATACACACATACACACATACATACATACATACATACATACATATATATATATATATATATATATATATATA